ATATAAATAAACCCTCCAGACCCCAGCAACACATGTGTATCAGTGCTTGCCATTGCATTGCGTGAGTGATGATACACTCACACACACGCCCACACGCGGTGTGTATGTATGTATGTATGTACATGCATGCATGCAAGCCGCTCGCTCTATCTTTCTCGCCCTCTGCCCCTCCCTCCCTCCCTCCCTCTCTCCCTCCCTCCCTCCCTCCCTCCCTCCCTCCCTCCCTCTCTCTCTCTCCCTCTCTCTCTCTCTCTCTCTCTCTCTCTCTCTGTGTTTCGCTCTCGTCATCTCCTCTCCTAGAAGCGCCTGTGCCGGCACACCCTATAATAGCCTATAAGCCCTGAAACCCCTTCAGCCAACCCCCCGGAGCTAACTCCCAAAGGCTCCATGTACCTCTATAGTAGTTACTGAAGCCGTAGAGGGGTGCCTATATAGGCACTTTAAGGCCTAAGTGTTTTCTATATGGGTACATGGAGCCTTAGGGACTCTGCAGCAGAGCAGCGATAGTGATCGAGCGACCACTGAGAAGAGCGACGGTGATGCGCATGGTAATGTCGCTATGTACACAAAGCCGTCATCTAAGCAAAGAAAGCCTCCCAAAACCGTCTAGACAAGTTCTCTGGACTATTCCGTAAACTCAGTAATATCCTCTTAGCCGAATAACGGAAACCTAAACCCTAAACTCCAAAACCTATCCACCAGAAGCAGTTAGGCTTCAATATCCTCAAACCTAACCCCTTTCAACTCTAGACACTAAACCCTGAAAACCCCAAGCCAAACTTGTCCCCATAAGTCCTTCGTATGTCAAGACGAAGTTCGGCTTATAGGTTTTGGGTGCCGTCGAGCCTTTCAAATGGCTCTGCGCATGCGGCGGCGGCGGCGGGTCTGGACCCAGAGGGATTCGTGTGTGCTTCTAGGGTTTCAGACTCAAGTTAATTCCTTTAGGGCTTGGGGTTTTGGGTTCGGGATTTATAGGCTTTAAAACTAAGTGTTTAGGGCTTGGGCGGTTCAGGCATTACTCCGAGGGTTACGGAACTATACTGAACTTAGAACCTTAGCAAAAAATACAATTTTAGCTGTTTCTCAAGGGTTGTAATAACCAAAAATTCAAAATAATTTCTAAGTACCCCTAAGGGAATAGGGACCTAGAAGTTTGGCGGTTTAGGGTCTATGGAGCAGAGACTTCCAAACCCTGGAAGTAAGGAGTAGATTCCTGAGATGATCTTGCAAAGACCCAAAATGCGAAAACCCTCCACCCTCAACCTCAAGCCCTAAACCTTAAACCCTAAACCCTAAACCCCAAAACCCTAAACCCTAAACCCTAAACCCCTAAACCCTAAGTTCTAAAACCCCGATCTCCAAACCCTAGACCCCTAAACCCCAAATCCTGACCCTCAAAGTGATGACCCTAAGGGTCCTAACACTTTGGGGAGATGTAGGATGTCTGAGACCCCCAAAAAAGGCCCAACGGCTCTCTCTGACCCTCTTAAAGAGATACCTGGACCCTTAGTGTAAGCCCTAAAACCCTAAACCCTAAAACTCTAAACCCTAAAACCCTAAACCCCAAAACTCTCAGCCCCGCCTTAATAGAACCCTTATAGATCCCTTAAAGGAATCGGAAATATTTGAGGAACCCTAGTTATTACTGAGTCCCATGACGACCTGAAGGCGACTACGCTGGACCGCGTCGGAGAGCTTCTCGAAGAGCAGAGCCTGCCAGGCTCAGGGTTTACCCTAAGGGTTAGGGCTTTAGGGCTTCGGGGTTTAGGGCACCCTTTAACTAAGGAATACCTGGGTTCCTTTCCGGGATCCATAGGGTTTAGGGGTTTAGGGCTTTAGGGTTTAGGGCTTTGGGTTTTAGGGCTTGCCCTAAGGGTCAGGCGCTTCGGCTTTAGGGTTTTAGGGTCTGGAGTTTTAGGGCTGGGGTTTAGAGATTTAGGGTCGGAAGTCTTAGGGTTCGGAGTTTTAGGGTCTTGAAGTTTTAGGGTTCCTATGCCTCCACAAGGGCTCCTACTGTTGATGATATAAATCCTGCATTACCCATAATAAGGAATATACCCATAATTCCCATAGTTTAGGGTTCTTAAGGTAATGCAGGATTTATATCATCAACCGTATGAGGATGACTGTAGGCAACAAGGGCTCCTATCGCGGCTCTGAATTGTAATTGGAAGTAGGTTTTATCAACACCCTAAGCATCCAAGTATCTAGTAGTCATATACTCTGCAAAATCCTAACCGTCCTAACCTACATAACTACTATCCTAAAACCGAGTACCTAATTATTGGGTCCTTTGGACCATTGGGGTCAACAGAGCTAGGAGTATGCCCTGGTTTTAAGGCACTTGCAACTCTGGTTTACGCCGGCGAACTAGGTCCACTCTGTGAGCACAGGCTTGTGCCCCACACCTTTCCCAAAGGGTCCAAGGATTGTCATGGTACGTACTTAGACCCCCATAAGTATATACCACAATGATACTTGGACCCTTTGGGTTTGTTCAACCAACCCCCTTCTTGCATGATCTGTGCTGTCTGGGGGTTGACCCTCTGACGCTTCGCGGTGCTTTCTGAGGGGCGTCGCTTCACTGGAGAAACTTTTGGCGGGACACTTGCCATTGACTTCGAGCATCTCCATATAGAGATTGATCCAAGGGCTCAATGTCACCGTCGTCGAAGTTTCTTTGAAAACGCCACATCTGGGCATACAACCTCCTCGACCATGTGGAAGTACGAGCGTTTCAGCCAAGCACGCTTGCGGCGCTCTTCGAACCCAGACGGAAGTTTGGCTTTGTTCTCTTCTGTCTGCCGAGCATCCTCGAACCTTTAAACGTAAACCCAAACCCTAGACCCTAAACCCTAAACCTCAAACCCTAAACCCTAAACCCCTAAACCCTAACCCCTGTCCCCTAAACCCTAAACCCCTAAACCTTAACCCCTAAACCCTGAACCCTAAACCCCTAACCCAAAACCCTAAAACCCTAAACCCCTAAACCCAAAAACCCTAAACCTTAGACCCTAAACCTTAGACCCTGAATCCCAACCCCTGAACCCCTAAACCGGATCGCCTTTCCGCCAGTCCAAGAACCGGAGAAAGAAGCTGAGTCTTGAGCAACCCGGCAGAGGCTGCCAACCCCGAACAGTCCATCCCCCAAGACTCCAAATAGCCCAAAGTAGGTAGCATTTATAGACTTTAAACCCCAAAGTAGGTACCATTTGAATACTTGGAGTCTTAGGGATCTTCAATGCCGTAATATGGGAGTTTCCGTTTGTAGGGTCTCCTATAAACTCTGCATATTAGGGTCCATAATAAGAACCTACAAAATAAGTAGGGTTTGGTAGGCTAAGGGGACTGTCGACCTTCAATGCCGTAATATGGGAGTTTCCGAGAATTGGGGGGGTACCTTATTCTGGGGTCCTTGCATTTTAGGGGTACTATATTGGGGTCCCCTAGTTTCGGAAACTCCCATGTCCGTACCCAAAGGGTCTAAAGTATTGTTATGGTACATACCTAGACCCCGAAAATACCCTGTAAGTATATACCACAATGATACTTGGACCCTTTGGAGTATTATCGCGGCCTTAAAGCAGCTAAAGTAATCAGGGTTTGCGGGTGCGCTAGGCTGTAGCTTTGATACGGACTATGGGGGGACATGTTCAGACCCCAACATGCAGCCATGCAGCCCCTGGTAGATAAAGGTACATGTTAAGACGTGAACATCGAAGCTAGGGGCACAATTTTTCCGAAAGGAGGACTGCCTGCTGCACGCATCTCTCCCGGTCCTCTGTGGTCCGAAAGCACGAACCCCAAATAATGCCTTTAGGCTTTAGAGTTTCAGGGCCTACGGGTTTCAGCTTTATGGTTTATGATATTGATCAAGTAATTACCGTGTAGTTGTGGGTTTGTGTTGGCGTTCGGAGTTCTTGGAAGCAATACATGTGTCTGCCACTTGTGAGCCTGCTTGCAACTCTGGTCATTCAACACAGTAGACAAGGAACCAGTCAACGAGGGACACTAGTCCCTAAACCCTAAACCCTACAGAACTTGTGCACAAGTCAGCAAGAGAATCTCATCAGTTTTGCAACAACAACAACAATAACAACAACAACATGGAGCTTCAGAAACCCTAAACCCTATACCGCTACATTAGGTTGATTAAGACCTAAGAATGTCCGATGTGGACATAACTACCATTATCTTGCCGAGGGTAAATACACACTATCAATTGGTAATCCCTCAGTACTACACCTCAAGCTCTGCCACATCTCTCGCAATAAAAGCAATTGGCATTCCTGGTCCCCGTTATGATTGTAAGGCTCTAAGCTCCAATATGTTGTGTTCTTTTGGGTTTACCCGAAGGGTCCAAGTGCCCATATACTCCCCCATAATGATTAATAACCTAGCTATTAAGTCGTTTTCTTCACATTGTTGTCATCAGTGTTGTGTAAGGCCATAAGGGCCCATATGGCACGGCCTATTGACCCAACGACGTTCGGGTCTTCTTAGATTCTTGTGAGGAACTGAGTCTGGGTTGCCGTAGGAAGGAAGGGATGTTATGTAAATCCCCTTACAAACCTGTAAACCCATACAGTAAACCCCATAAAGTTGGAAACCGGATTAAGGCCAAATAGTGCTGGGATTCCCTATAGATGACTCTTAAGGATTGAGGCTATTGGGTTTCCAACTTTTGGGCTTCTACTATACTGAAGTTATAAGCTCCTATCAACCCCTTATAACTTATAAACCTTAGACCCACATTTTTTGCGCAAAGCCTTGAGGGGTCCAAGTTCTTACTCATCATATGCTCTCTTGAATAAGGCCCTTCGGATCCCTCACTAAAAAGCCCCGGTCTGTAGAAACCCTGAAGTCTATGAAACCCCACAGACCCTGACCCAAAGCACTAAATTCTAGGCCACTTGAAAAATCATCAGGTCTGTTTTTTATGTAGAAACGACAGGTCCTCCAGAGAACAGTCGCTGAAGGTTTCGCAGCCCTGCGCCTGCTCAAGCGCCGCCCGAACAGCCTCTCCGTCCAGTCCGAGGGGGCCGGGAGAGGCCCATGCTTACCTTTTGCTAGTAGGGAATGGAAGAATGGTAGTAATAGCAGTAACAGCAGTAGTTGTAATTCTACCCCATTCCTCCGTTCCCTACTGACCAAAGGTAAGCATGCACAAATAAGTTTAGGGTTTAGAGCCTAGGGTACATGATGGTGGCCTCAAAATCAGGATGTCAGGCATATTTTTTAATCAAAGGTTTAGGGGGAAGCATTTTGCTTGGCTTCTTGCAGGCTCTGCACAGGTTCCTATTATTAAGGGTTGCCCGGGGCTGGGTTTGGGGTTTCAAACCACTTCAGCATGTGTTGCGGGTCTGAAAAATCAGCATGAACATTGATTTCACAACTGAGTGGTTGTCAAAATTAAGGTCCCTTTTTGGGTCCTTATCATAATACGGCACCTAGTATTTAGGGTACCCAAAACGGGGCCGTAATTTTGACAACCACCCAACTGGATTTCGGCAGCTCAGAGACCTTTCAACGATCTAGGCGAGGAGACATCCCATATGGGGGTTTCCGAATATTAGGGTACCTTATTTGGGGGTCCGTATAATTAGAGTCCTACTATTTAGGGTACTATATTCAGGCCCCCTATTTTCGGAAACTCCCATATGACAATGATCGTTTATGGATAGGGCTTAGGGATTTAGAGGTTTATGGTTTAGGGGTTTAAGGGTTTAGGGTTTAGGATATGCTAGTTATCCGGAGGTTCGATAGTCCTATCTGCTGGTTAAGGTTCCTGCTCTGTTCACACGGTCGGAACCCTCAACACATAGAATACATAGGATACCGAAGACCTCGAACAGCCTCGGGACCCCTACAGTCGCCTGAGTCATAATAGCAATAAGACCCAGAGGGTCCATATACCCTACGATTATGGAATTAGGCCCGAAAAAACCATGCCCATTATGGTTTTGGTGACCTAATTCCATAATAGTAGTGTTTCTGGACCCTCTGGGAGAATGACAATAATAATAATAACACTATCAATACAATAACAATAGTAGTAACAATGGTAATGGTACGCATAATGACAGTAAGAATATGAAATTTCATAAGAAACATGTAACAGTACTAGTAATTCATGACAGATGGGAGAAGTAAACAATTGGACCATGTTTGGTGGTGGCATGTTGTGCTGGAGCTGCAGTAAAGGAACATTAGTTCTAATTATTCAGGCTTCCACGTTAGACCCATTACATCTTTGCAACACTATCGTGCAATGCCTGCCAAGATGCGCAGTATTCTAAACTCTTAAGGCCTGACATGACACCCACAAGTAAGCTTCAAAGGGCTCTCCTATTCCATCACATGGTAGTTGGGCTCTAGGCCCGACGTGGACACCTCTACCCTTTTTGCTACTATTCTGTTTGAATACTACCCAGGAACCTAGATTAGTACGGTTGATGATATAAATCCTGCATGACCCATAATAAGGAATATACCATAGTTCCCATAGTTTAGGGTCCTTAAGGTCATGCAGGATTTATATCATCAACCGTAGGGTTTAGGCGCGTTGGGTTGCAGTCATCGGTGCCTTGCGGTCGCCGGCTTCCACGGCCGCCTGGGACAGCTCAACACCATGGAGCTGGGTTTAGGGCTCCGCCAGCACCCCCCCCAGCTACCCTTTAATAGAGCCCTTATGGTCCTGAATAGTGGGTATTTGGGGTATAGTGGAGGGTAGTTGGGGGGTGCTGGCTTTACAGCTCTGGGTTTAGGGTTCTGGGGTTCTGGGGTTTAGGGGTCTTGGGCTTAGGGCTTTATGTTTAGAGTCCTGGGCCTCTCTCGAACTATCATGACCCACTTACATACTTGTGGGTTCATATTGTAAACCCAAAATATCGCGGATAGGTGAGAAACAAAATATGGGAGTCCAAGGCAGGGTCTGGGGTTTGGGGGGTTCTGGTCTTAGCGTCGTTAGGGCCTTCGGGTAAAGAGGATATAGGGTCTTTGGGTAGGGCTAAGTCGAAAGGCTACAAGTAGCAGCATATAACCCCCGAATACGTAATCCCGAAACCCCATAAACCCCTAAACCCCTCCCTCAACCCCATAACCCCACAAGCCCTATAACAGGCCATAAACCCGAAAGGCCCCACTAAACTCCTGAAAAAGCGTACACCTTAAACCCCTAAACCCTACAACGTCCTCAAAGAGGCATCTATAGATCGCTTATGGGTCCCTTTAAGGAATCCTATAGATCTCTTTAAGGAACCCTATAGATCCCTTTAAGGCACCCTATAGATCCCTTTAAGGAAGCCTCTAGATCCCTTTACAGTACAGCCTCAACCCTGCCTGGCCTGGAGAAAGTCCTGTGCGGAAGCGAGCTCCAGGATCTTCTCTGCCCGGGCGATGCTGCCTGGCTTTTCAGGTAACTAAAGGCCTGTCTTTTTGGTATTTGGTAACTTTATAAGGAACCTAGGACTACAAAAAGGGAATAAGGGTACTACTGGGCATCCTAGGTAAGGTTCCTCAGTAGACGGTTTAGGGTTTAGGGTTTCCCCTTAGTCATAAGGGTACCCTTTTCCCAACGTTCAGTTTTAGCTTTAATAAGAAGACCCCAAACTAAAAAGTGCAAAAGGGTATTAATAGGGCCCCAAAAAAGCACATAAGCAAAAATTAGGATAGGGATATCCCATATAAACCCCCTTATAAGGAAGCCCAATAAGGTAGGGATATCCCTATAAAATGCTTATGCTTATGTGCCTTTTTGGGTCCCTAATTAACTCAGGAACCCAGTACATGGTTTGGGGCTTTTTGTTAAGCGGTGTGGAACCATCTGATGGTGCTAGGCTCACAACAAAGGCCGCACATCACATTATGTATACATAAAGGTCCATACCACATAGGCTTATAGGGATTATACGGCATCGGGAGTTTTGAAAAGGTTTGCTTTCTAGAAGGTGAATTTCTAGGCTCTAGGGTTTGATAGGTGTTTACAGGGTTGGTAGTCCTTATAGGGTTTATAGGGCTGACAGGGCTTAGAGGGTTAAGGGCTGGCTTTTGGGCTGTGGGTGTTACCAGCCTTGTGTTGCGGCAAGGACTTTCTGAGGACTTGTAACTTCAATATGGTTTGGTGGTATACAACAACAACCTAGAGTAACGGCATCTATAGAGACTCCACTTACGGGATGTCTCTCTCATGATGCAGGCTTCTATATCAGCAGTTCTGGGCTAAGAGCGGGTGGCTTTATGGTGGTTTCGGCTTCGTATTTAGGGCATTTACGTTGTTAGGATTTTTTGGTGCGGAAGCCCTCACATGCCTGCAGGGTTTTGTCTTGCCTCGGCGGGATCCTGCTCCTCACCGGATAGAAGGCGCACCCATTGAAGCCTTTTCTACAGGCTTTCCTTACGCATCCGCCCAAAGCACTATAGAGTCCGGTCCCTCCTTCGTAGGTGGGGTCGGCCGGTCGAAGCGCGGGCTGCTACCGCTCGCCGACCCCTCTTGCGTCGCGAAGGTGGCTGTGGAAACAGGGCTTCATGCCTTTTGATGTATCGACGGCTTGAGGCTTCAACCCGTGCACCTGCTCATCGCATGCGGGTCTCCTCTTCAGCTCACGGCGGTAAACGAAACGCCAGCCGCCCAGACACTTGCCAGACCGACAAGGTGGTGTATTTGCCTTGCATCCTATACAGCCTAAACCAAGTTTGTCGCTGTTTGTGGTGTTTAGGGTTCAGCGTGGATTTTAGGGGAGGGCTGCACACTGGGCTCTCTAGGTCACAACTCTATTAACTCTATTGCATGACGGGTTTTCTGATCTTCTTATCTCCTGGCTAAGCGTACATAGTAAACCCGGCCATCTCGTGAACCCATAAAACCCCAAACCACCCTCCTAGGCTACTAGACCCTGCCAAAGCCTAAAAATGCCACAAGGTTGAGGTCTCCATAATCCTTTCTGGAAACCCTCCTAAACCCCAAACCCTTCGTCCCCAATCCCTGTTATCCCCAAGCCCTACCTTAACCTACCAAAAGGTACTGTTTTGTGGGTCCCTATAAATCCCATCGTCGGGTCTAAAGTAAGAACAAACAAAAAATAAGGTTTAGTAGCTATAAGTACCCGAAGTTTCCCGGTATCTCTTTAGGAGGGTCCGGAGTCTCCTTGGGAGAGTTGGGTCTCTTTGGGGTCTCAGAAACCCTCAATTTTGAGGGCCTTGACCCGCTCCAATATATAAACCCCTAAATAGTAGGATCCCTATTAAAAGGACCCCCAAATAAGGTACCCCCTATTTTCGGAAACTACCCAGAAAAGGTTAAAGGTCGCCTACTCTACTACTAGGTAAGTCAACAACATCCGGTAAGGTCGCTGCCGCCATCAACACGGAGCCGTTTCGCATTGCTGATCACCTCGCAAAATGGGGTTCAAGGTGATTAGGGTATTGGGCTCCAAGGTGTATAGGGTTTAGGGTTTAGGGGTTTAGGATTTAGAGCTATAAGGGTTTAGGGTATTGGGCTCCACCTAGACCCCCCAACTACCCTTGATGGAAGTCCCTAATTTCCTCTTAATGAGACAAAACAAGGGCCCTTTAGAGGGTACTTGGGGAGGGGTGCTGGCAAGGTGAAGAGTTTGGGGCTAATGGTTTAGGGTTCAAGGGTGCCGGGTTCAGGTGCAACCTGCAGGAACCCTTGAAGGAACCCCAAACCCTGGAGGTCGAACGATTGATGATATAAACCCTGCACTACCTTAAGGACCCTAAACTATGGGATGGGAATTATGGTATATTCGGGTAATGCAGGATTTATATCATCAACAGAAGTACCTAACGATCATATACTCTCCAGAATAGCAACCTACATGACTACTACACTAAACTCGAGTACCGTAATTATTGAGTCCTTTAAACCCTTAGGGTAACGGTTGTTCCCTTTAAGGATTCCAGAAAAAAACGCTTTCAAACGATCGGTTTTTGCGTCCTTACAGGGCTCCGTAAACAGATCGTAAAAGTTCCCTTGCGGGGCGCATGGGTTATGTAGCTGTACATACCCCAAGGGTCCAGTTACCTAGTAATCATATACTCTCCCAACTCTGAACCTACATAACTACTATCCTGGACCCAAGTACCCGATTATTGGGTCCTTTGGACCCTGGGGGTTACGGTTTAGGATTCGTTAGGGGTTGGGAGCTAATGAGGATCGGGGGCTATAGGCTTGCCTACTTAGATTGGCGATATGCCCTACGGATGCTATGTTGCTGCTAGAATGTTTTTGTTTTAGTAGATCTGGAGCACCTTTTGAATGTTTACAACATAATCAACAGGGCCAATAGGGTACGGCATATTGTTTTAATTGCAATGTACTGGGCTTTCTGCGTATGTCTGAGGTTGAGGGCCCAATACCATGCCAATCCCCTGTAGGGCCTGAGCCATAACATAGCGCCTCAACCCTCCAGCCGAAAACATCAATCCCAAACTTATGTAACGGCCACCTTAAGAGTTAAGAAGCCCAAACTGCGCTTAGGCAGTTTAGGCTTTAAGCGGCAGGGTTTGCCCCAACAGCCCTAAGCTTGGAGTTTGAGGAACTACATTAGATCCAGGCGAGTATTGTTCAATCCCTTTGGGCAGCTCAACAATTAAAGGCTCCAGAGGCCGCACAAGCCGTGATAAATGTGCCGAGAATGCTAGGATCCCTAAACCCTAAACCACCCAATCAAAATGGTACGGTTGATGATGCAAATCCTGCATTTCCTCAAAAACCCTAAACTATGGGAATTATGGTGTATTCCTTACTATGGGTCATGCAGGGTTTATATCATCAACCGTATTTAGTATTTCCTTTCCAACAAAACACATCTGGCCCGAGGATGATAAGCTCAGAAGACCCTGCAGTCTCCAACCCCTGAATATTACATGGGTGGTTGTCAAAATTGGGGTCCTTTTTTGGGCCCTTAATATAATACGGCACCTATTATGTAGGGTACCCAAAAAGGGACCCTGATTTTGCCAACTACCGACAAGATGCAGCGACCTCAAAAAACAAATCGACACCTACCCTTAACACACCAACAAGGCCACCAGAAAATCCCTAAACTCTAAAGACACCTACACACCCCGAAAACACCAACAACAAAGCCCCAACAATATCCTAAACCCTGAAGACACCTGAACACCCTTAAAAGCACTAAAAAACCCTAAACCCCTAAAACCCCTAAAACCCAAAAACCCAAAAACCCAAATCCTACACCCTCAGACTAAAACACCAAAAGCCCCAAACACCGCAGTGAAAGCCCCCGGAGGCTCCTCCGGCAGTTCTTCCAGCAGCACAGATTTGCGCCGCACCTGAAAATAGAGGGTATCCAGCACCCCCCAAGTAGCCGTTGATAGAGCCCTTATGGTCCTTAATAGCGGTATTTGGGGTATAATGGAGGCTAGTTGGGGGGGTGCTGGATGGGCTTAGGCTTGAAAGGTTTACGGGTTCAGGGGTTCGGGTATAAAAACTTAGGGTTTATGGGGCTCATGTACTGTAGGGGTTCGGGTTTGGGTTTTGGGGCGGCATAGGGTTGGGGGGGGGGGGGGGGCCTTGTTTTGTTTGTTTTGTTTTTTTTTTTTTTTTTCATGGGTTTCGGTGGGAGCAATGATGCTGGCAACTGTTGGGGTTTATGATCGGGTTTCCCGTTTATTCTAAGCTTCGGGGTTTCCATGTTAATTACCGTTGATTGCTTGGGGTTTACGGTGCAGTAGAAGATAGAGCTTCGCGTTTGTGCGCACTTCAGGGCCATAGTTTGTCCCGGGCTCGGGCTCTTGGCTTAGAGCTTGGGTTGCAAACAGGTCGGCACGTCTACATCTAATCTTCGGGCCTGAGTATCCTCGCCCAAAAAATGCTAACCTTTCCCATTACGGTAGTATTTGTAAACCCCAAGAATCGAATTACACCTACTGAGAATTACAGTCTGCTTGCTGAGTCCGTTGACCCTTCAAGTATATATGATGAGCCTCAAGGAACCAATGACCCTTTCAAGCAAGGGCCCTATATTTTGAAAACAAGAATTCCTTTCTGGTATCTGAACCGTAAACTCTGTTAAGGCACATTTTGGTCCTGAAGAAGGGCAGGAGATCATCACAACTCCGACCAAGCTGTCGTGCCACATGCATAAGGATCGAGACGGAAGCGACTGCATAAAGGCGAGAGCTCACACACAGAACTCTAAACCCTAAACCCTATAAGCCCTAAACTAAACCCTAAATCCCTAAGCCCATAGACCCAAAAAGCCTCCAGCTTATGAATGCCCTAAGCAAACCGATGAATCCTAGCAAACCCTGAATCCTAAACCCTAAACCCTAACACCAAAGCTGAAGCCCCAAAGTGTACCCTATCTCCACCCGGAGGTGGCTTATTGTGAAAGGCCCGAGAAAGGCCGTAATTCCCCTAACACCTGCCACACCCTGAACCCGACACTCTAGGCCCCAAAACTCTTAAACTTAAACCCCTAAGCAACCCTGAACCTTATCCTTTTTGAGGAACATTTGAAACCCTAAGCCATCATTTAGGGTTTAGGGTTTAGGGTTTAGGGTTTAGGGTTTAGGGTTTAGGGTTTAGGGTTTTTAGGGTTTAATCAACAAACTCAACCCGAAGCCACCTGCAAAAGCCCCTCCAGCTGGGAGGCCGCGGCAGCCTGCCCAGGTTCCAAAAAGCACAAAACCCTTTTAGGGTTTTGGGTTTTAGGGTTTAGGGTTTAGGGTTTAGGGTTTAGGGTTTAGGGTTTAGGGTTTAGGGTTTAGGGTTTACCTGGACCCTAAGGAACCTACCTTTTTAAGGTTCCTTAATATGATTTCTTTATATAAGTCCTTAAAAAGGTAGGTTACGTGGGGTTAAGGTAGTGTTTAAGGTTCAGGGTTTAGGCTTTAGCGGTTAAGGAATATGCCTTAAGAGCTGTAGGAAGAACAACAGCACTAATCATGAAAATTGCAGTACAACATACTAATTATTCGTCACGCTGCTAGGACTAACAGGTGTAGTCCCCGGAATCCCAAAACCGACAGTAACAACCCCTGGGGCGGGAGAGGGGGGCGGGGCCTGCTCCTCCAGAAATCGAAGCTTCGCTTGGGCCATTGTCAGCCGGAAGCGGCTGAGATGGCCAGGGGCTTCCGCCACCTCTGTAGTCAATACTATACTGAACTTATCACCCTAGCGAAAATTACAATTTTAGCTGTTTCTTGGGGATTATAAGAACCAAAACTTGAAAAAAACATTTCTAAGTACCCCTTAAGAATAAGCTACTCTCCGCTCCCCATTTATAAGGTTTCAGTAGGTTTTGTTATATAGTGCTTGGGGTTTCCGCCACCTTTGTAGTCGATAGGGTTTTATGGGGCTTTGCGAAAGTTTAACAATAATTCAGTGATGTGTTGTAGGTATTTGAAAACGGTTTTGCGTAGAGCGCAATAAGAGTTCCATGAAGACTTTTTCCATTATCATGAGGGTGTGGCTTCCTTCAGGGAGGGTGGTGCGACAGAGGCGAGAGACATCAACTCTCCCTGTAACTCCCACGTCAAAGATCCACGCAGGAGTACCCTAATGGTTCCGTACCGGGTTCTGGGTTTAATGTCATCCCTTCGTTAAGGGCTCCTTCTGGTATTTTTGTTGCTGGGCTTCATGGCGGCCATTATTGATGATGGAGGTTTAACTAATAGGCTTGGCTCGCTTTGGTGCGAGGAACAATCCCCAATTGTGTGGCATTGGTATCTTGTGGGGGTGCAGAATCACCTCGACGAGGGCTTTAGGGTTTACGGCTCAGGACTTCAAACTTTCAATTGCGGGTCAGGTTGTCTTTGCGGAAGGTTTAGGGTTCAAGCTTGTTTGACGGTTCAGGGTTAAGGCTTGAACGTGCCATTCAGCGTAGCTTGCATCGACATTCGGGACCTTCAGGTACCTTTCTGAGCTTTGGGGGCGAAAGCTTCAACTCATGCGTCTCTCTTGAGACATTGGTCTGTTTCTCGGGTACTTATCTTCCGGATGCAGTTATTTGGGGTCTTGCCAAGGTCGCTGGCACTCGACGAACGAGGCCTCTCGCAGTCTCTGACTTCAGTCGGAGCTGCTTTTTATGCCGCCCATTCCAGTCACCAGAACGTCTCTTCTGCCACCAGCAACAGTAAAGGCTCAGCTTCCAATCTCCTTGCTTGATTGATCTGCCGTGGTAGATCAAATTCCGCAACATGGCATAGCGAGCGCGCCAGCGCACCTCCTGAGGACTCTACATCCCCGCCGGTGCCAGAACCACGAACTCTTCCGCCAAACGATACTTCTCTCAAAACGGGGACCGTCAGCGCGCGGACCGATTCCCAGGGCCTGGCCTGCAACGATACTTCTTGGAGGTCTGCGCCGCTTCGCCAGGCTCACCCCGAGTCGACATGGCCGCGATCACGAAAGCAAGAATCGCGCCCTGCACTGATCCGTCCGCCCCTCTTTTCTTCGCACTCCGTGCTTCGACGGACTGCGGCACGATCGAGACAGTTGGCAAGTTCTTCACTCACCATCTATTTCTCTGAGGGTTTCGGGTTTAGAGTTTGAAGGTTCTGTGCATTGTTACTGTTGATTATTTGGAACCCAGCATGTGGGTAGCCTCAACACGAAACACAATGGTAAACCTAAACATGTAATGCGTCTAACCTTTCCTTTAGGGCGCCTACTTTTGTGGTCAGGACTTGTCATCTAGAAAGGTAGGTACAACAAGATATGACCCTCATGGTGTAATTGGCCTCTTCTCTTAGGCCCTAAATCCTGAACCCCGAAAGATTACGTAAACCCCAACACTCGCCGATTTCTCGGAGCCCCAAAAACCGTGAACTTTGCGGGTTTAAGGTGTATGGTTTTAGTAACAGTCGAGTCTTGGTGTTTAGGGTTTATTAGGGTTACCCACTCACAGTATTACTACACTACGAGACAGAAGGACCCAGCCAAAAGGTTGGTACTCTGGACCCTGAAGAGAGGAGTCCAACACCCCAAAATCATCCGTTCAGCCATGCGGCGTACACGACCTCCATTTCCTGTGTGACTTGGAGGAGCAGGGGATCTCGGCTTGTGGTGCAGGGTTTACAGTTTACTGATATATGGGGGTTTGTACAAGGCCTGTAACCCAAACTCAGTACTTAGATCTCACAACCAACGGTGAGAATAATGATGCCATGTGACATCGTCGTGTGCGAATAATTTACGTGCAGCAAGACTCCAGCTTAATGCACGCAGAAAACAAGGACACGCATGCACACACCAAAAACCTCCTAAAGAGGCACCAGATCCTCTCAAGGCTGAGAAGGGCACACCGGCACGCCGAAGGATTCAAGAAGGATCATGGGGACTTACTCCAAGGGTCCAGGCATCTCCTTAGGAGGGTCCAGAATGTCCTAAAGTGTTACCAGGGTAGAAACTACCCTAAGGCCCTGAGGCTCCAGAGAGGGTCATGGGCTTTCTGGCGGAGGGTTTGGCCTTTGGAAGCAAAGGAATTGGATCTCGCTACAAGGGTCCCGGAGCCTTGGGGTAGGGCCATGAAAAGGTAGCTATCAATACAAGTTCTTCTTAGATGCTGAAGTCATAAACCCACAAAAGTGCACGCTTTTAGTTGTACAGTGGGTGGCATTATCCCAAAAAGTGCAAAGTGTGACCTCTCAGCTACTAAGTCTTATAACCCTGATGAAGGTACTTACACCCTTACCTAATATATCCTTACTTACCCCGCTTAGAACCATAATAAACTAAATGACATTGCTGATATTCTCTCGGGCTTTATATGAATAAAAATAAAAACTATAATTCCTAAGGAGACTATCGACTAAGTCCCATGATCCTCCAAGCTTTGGTAAACGGCCGAGCCCAGTGTTCGCTTTTTATTGATTTACGATGTTTCTCGACGGAAAACCTTCTGAAACTCCATGCGACCATTGGCCTTAAACGTTAAGCCTCAAAGAACACTCAATTCCACACCCTTCTAAGCCCAAATCTCATAAGCCCCAAGCCGTAACCTCCGAAGCTCCAAACCCTAAACCTCGCACCCTTAAACTTCAAACCCTCTTAGACCATAGTGAAACCCCTAAAGCCCTAAACCCTAAAAGCCCTAAGCCCTAAAAGCCGCAAAGTCCTAAAGCCCGAAAACCCTAAACGCCCGGAGCCCTGTGTTGGTCTCCTTGATCACGCTGCGGAGGTTAACGAGATCCCGATTTGACAGAGCTTCCATCCTCAGTTGGCTGCACAGGATTGGATCAAACTTATCATAAGAAGGGTACCCTTTTGCCTACTAGTATGATTTCATTAATAGGAGACCCTAAACCAAAACGGGCAAAACGGTACTGCTCAGGAACCTTGGAATTTGGAGTGTAGGGTTTAGGGTTTAGGGAATGGTGGCTCGCAGAACATTGACCTGGCTACTTCTTGCGCGCGCTCTTACGGGCTGAGAATGCTGGATTCCGGGAACCTGTGTCCAGAACTCCCTGCTCATGGCCTTTTTGTCGATGTTGCCACGGGTTCTCGCAACTTACCTTCGGTTAGTAGGGAATGGAAGAATGGTAGTAATAGTAGTTATAATTGTACCCCATTCCTCCATTCCCTACTAACTAACCAAAGGTAAGCAAGGGCTTCGTCAAGATTTGCCCTAACATCCACAACCCCGCCAGATGGAGCCTAAATCCTAAACCATGCGCGAAACTGAGTACCCTCCCTAGGGGTCCAGGAGGGTCCGGAATGGAGTCCGGGTCTCTTTGGGGTCTCAGAAACCCGCAATTTTGAGGTTCCCCAATTTGTTAGGACCCTTAGGGCTGACCCTGTAAGTTACTGGAAGCGCGGAACCCCAAACCATAAGCACCCAAAGCCCTAAACCTTCTGCAGATGTGCTAGCATGGCTAAACACGAGCAATTGCGGAGCACCTTGCTACAGGTAATCCGGACGCTGTCATCGACAAGTTCAACTGAAACGCTTGCAACCAGTATTTTTTAGTCTAGTCCTCATGCAGGCAGCAGTCCTGATCGCTGACACTGGCTGACGACAGTGCGACCGATCTCCGAACACCAAGCCCACCCCCAAAAGCTAAACCCCATACCCTAAACACCAAACCCCAAGCACCGGACCCAAAAGCCTAAACCCAAACCCCAAAACCTTAGGACCTTAACCCAAAAGCCTAAACTCCAAGCACCAAACCCAAAAGCCTAAACCCAAACACCAAACCCAAAAGCCTAAACCCAAACCCCAAAACCTTAACCCAAAAGCCTAAACTCCAAAAAGCAAACCCTAAAAGCCTCAACCCAACAGCCTAAGCCTAAACACCAGACTCTCAAACCCCTACTTGGAGGGTCGGAGGGCATATTAAGTAGCTATTTTGGAGCGTTAGAAATACCATAACCCCAATTAGGGTCCCTTTTAGGGTACTTATAACTCTACTTATTACCTACTTACTAAGTCCCCCGACCCCTGAATCCCTAAACCCTAAACCCAAACCCTAAACCTAAGGCAAGAAACCTCAAACCCCAAACGCCTACGCCCTCGAGCCCCTATTCCGGAACGAGGCGCAGGGATTCCTGAAGCTTTTGCTGGTACTCGGTCCTCCAAAACCAGCTTTGCTCCCCAAGTTCTCACAGTAATGTAGGGGCCTTAACAATTAGAATGGGGTTTGGTGGTATTTTATGCGATAATGAGCTAGAATAAGAAACCCTTGTAAAATGGCATTATTGGGAGAGTAGAACCTATATATCAGACAGATTGGTAGCTGTTCAACACACCTGCTCCGAAAGCAGCAATAAGCTAGGTTTCGCCGGTTCGTTGGATATCCTGCTGAGGAAGTGTAATCTCCAAAGCCGAAGCCCGAAACAAAGCAAGCTACTGTAGAGCATTTAGCCAATTTAGCCAACACCCCTTTAAATAAACATTCGGGAGGCCAGTTCCCATGGCCTGAAATCAGTAGGTGTTTTTTTTCCGCATTCCTGGGTTGAACACAACGCCGCCGATCCTTATATACAATCCTTGCAACACTTGCAAAGCGACCCTGACCCGCAAGCCCAATATTCCTAAGCAGAACCCCAAAACTCCTTTAGCCCTCCTAACTAACACTTCAACAACCTTAGAACCACTCTACAACCCTTGCCCAAAGCCTGTCTATTTAGCGTTAGAGCGTCCCCAAAGCCCCCGAACTCTTGAACCCAAACCCCTAAACCCAGAACCAAACACCAAAGTTCCGTCTATTTAGCGTTATAGCGTCCCAAAGGTCCCAAACTGTTGAACCCAAACCCCTAAACCTAGAACCAACAACCCAAAGCTCTAAACCCTCAATTCTAAACCCCTCCAAAGAACCCTAACCCTTCACCCCTAAACCCCAAACTCAGACTTCCTCAAATCCCCGAAACAGAGGAGTCAGAGACTCTTATATCCCTTAATTCAGGAATCTACCTCAAAATTTGTAGGATCCCTTATATGATTTAAGGTATGTTCCTGAATTGAAGGATATACGAGTCCCCTAAACTCCACAGCCTATAGATCTCCTAATAGGAACCCCGAAAGGAACCCTTATTGATCCCATTGGAGTCTCTGCTTGGAGGATCATGCGACTTAGTAAGTAAGGATATAAGTACCTCAATTGGGATTCTAAGTGCTTTTGGGTATGGTTACCCTAGTTACAACCCCGGCTACTAAGTCCCATGATCCTCTAAGTAATCTTTAAACCCTATAGATCCCTTAAAGGAAACCTTAAATACTCTATATTATCTAAGACCCCTAAACCCTAAACCCCTAAGGCTGCAGGCTTATCCTTCTCTAGCGAGGAGCCCGAAAATCTAAATCCTCATAGTACCCCTATAGATCCCTTAAAGGGACCCCTTTAGGACTCCAGTGACTAAGTCCCATGATCCTCTAAGTAATCTTTAAACCCTATAGATCCCTTAAAGGAAACCTTAAACACCCTATATTATATAAGACCCCTAAACCCGGATCTAAGTGAGGAGTCCTGTCGAAGCAGTCCAAGGCGGCTTCCAGGTTCGCCTTGTTAAAGCCCACGCCTGCTTGGGGGCTTCGGGATTTAAGGGCTTAGGGGCTTAGGGGTTTAGGGTTTAGCGGTTTAGGGGCTTAGGGGTTTAGGGTTTAGCGGTTTAGGGGTTTAGGGAGAGGTTAGGGCTTAAGGTTTAGGGTTTAGCGGTGTAGGGGCTTCGGGGTGGTGCCTTTAGGGATGCATAAGGGTTCTTCTATGGGCTCCTCTAAGGGATACATAATATATATATATATATATATATATATAATATATATATATATATATATACTAAGGGGTCTTCAGGATTTAAAGGGGTGTTTTTGGTGAGGGGTTCACGGATTCTAGAGGTTTTGGGTTAGGGCTTCGGGTTTCAAGTTGCGGCTTAGGGCTTAGGGCTTTAGGCATTGAAGGGCTCAGGGTTTCAGGGCTTCTTGGTTTCTGGCGGTTGAGGGTTTAGGGCTGAGGTTTATGGCTAAATAAGGCTTTGGGTTTGCAGCGGAATAGTGCGTGGGCGAAAGTACCTTGCGATGAGGCTGTGTGGAGTTCACCGTACTGCGACGATGAGCTGTGATATCTGCTAGAGGCTTCTTTTTTTTGTGCTTTCTCTCCCCCCACGCCGTGCTCGAAGGATGGAGCTTCTGTGGTATAGTATGTTATCCCTGCATATCCACTCGACTCAGGCAACCAAAATCGAACGGCGTGCTGACCTTCCCACGACCCACGGGTGGGCAGTCTGTAGAGAACTTGCGAAGGATGTCCAAGTAACCGTCTGGCTTCTGAATCTGCATCTTCTTCAGGATATGGGCTTTGCCTGCTTTGGTAGCTTGGTCCATCAACCGCTTGTCGTCCGGGATGTGTTTGTCACACAACTGCACACACCTTAAATTACAAGCGGATGCGTGTCGTGAATGTGTCCCTGACCCCGGCGTAGGTTGCGATTGGCGATTGGGGGATCGGATCGTGATGTTTTTCTCAAGCGGCACATACGGCCAGCCACCCAAGCCCATTCATTTCTTTTTAGGGTTTAGGACTAGACTCATGCCAAAACGGATTTTGTTTTTCTTCAAACCCAGGGCAGGACAGGGCAGGGGTCAGCGGCACTCCCTGCAAGGTTGACAACGTTGGAGGCGACATTGGGTTGGCCGGCTGGCATACTGCTCGACGTTTCGCTGAGTTTGGTGCTGGGGCTTGGGGGTGACCGGTTTAGGGTTTCAGAGGGGGGTTGAGGGTCTAGGGCTGAGGTTCAGAGTTCAGGGCTTAAAGTTGGGGCCTAGGGTCGTGTGGTTTAGGGCTGAGGTTTCGGGTTTCGGGTCAGTTGGTTGGACGGTTTGAGGGCTAGAGATGAAGCCGTAGGGTTTGGGGGGGGGCTTGGGCTCGTTCAAAAAATGGATTTACCGGTTCTCCTCGAGTTCTATGAGGGTTCCTTAAGGGTTGCACGGGGGTCCGTAGGGGTTTTAGGGTATGCGTCGCTGTATCGTTTATTTTGGTGGGCATTAAGGTCTTAAGGGTTTAAGGCCATGTGTCTTGAGAACACTTGGAGAGTCGGGGGACTTACTAAGTAGCTATTTTAGAGAGTTATAAGTACCATAACCCCAATTAGGATCCCTTTAAGGGTACTTATAAGTCTACTTATATTATTACCTACTTACTAAGTCCCCCGACCCTCCAAGACCCTCCAAGCACTCTATTGCTGGCCTCTTGCTTGCTTGATGGCAGTCTTGACCCAGACAGGGCCCAGAGCACCTGAGCGCAGATCGGTGGAGGTACTTACAGTGGCTAAACCCTACCTTACCCTAAGAGTCCTAACAAATTGCGGAACCTCAATTGTGAGGGTTTCTGAGACCCCAAAAGAAACCCAAGGACTCTCCCCAGGACATTCCGGACCCTCCTCAGGGGATACCTGGACCCTTAGGGTAAACACGAAAAGACCCTCAAAAGTAAGGCTCTATAACCCTTATACCATGAATCCCTAATATGGTCTTTGAGGCATAAACCCTTTTAGGGTTCGTTTCGTCCTTAAGGTATACCCAATGGCCACATCCCTAAACCCGGGTCCTGAACCCCGCACCAAGCATCCTAGTACTTTTACTGTTGGGTGCCTGAAGACGAGGATGTTGCAGCTCGCCCAAAAAAAAGGCCCAGGACCCTTAAAAGGGCGAATCCGAAACTCCGATTTAAACCGTACACCCTTAAACCCCCCCTCTGGGCATGCAGGTTTAGGGCTTAAGGGTTTAAGGGTTTAGATTAGAAGGGGCCCCCACCCTGTAGTAGTGACCATAAGGATTATATAGGATCAGATTAGGGCCCTATTCTATTCCTATTATACCACTAGTACAGGGTGGGGGCAGCTTCTAAGGTTTAGAGGTTTAGGGTTCCGCTGTTTAGGGCTGTTCGCTGCTCTCTGACTTCTACTGAGAGTCTGGCGACAATGGCTAGCACAGAACAACTACACATGCGAATGACATCAGTGGTGGCAAGCGCAAAAAGGGTCCAAGATAGTAGAATTCAAGGTTTCTATATTAGGAACTACTAGTAGGATTTGGGGAAGTATTCCCCATAATTAACAATATCAAGGACCCGTTGGCAATGGAAAAGAACGAAGCAGCAGCCATCGACTACGACTACAAGTACGATCAATGTAGGAGCATTATAGCTAGAATAAGGTTTGATTCTAGGCTGTTCAGTAACCCACTGGGAAAAAGTATATACTTTTTTGGGCTTCTTATTTTATAATAGGAACCCCGAAACCTGAAAGTAAAAAAGTGTACCACTGAACAGCCTCGGATTTGTTTTGGGGAACCTGAAAACGTAGGATTTCTGAGACCACAACGATACCCAAGGGCTGTCACTGGGAGATTCCGGGCCCTCCTGAGGAGATACCTGGACCCTTAAGGTAATCATAATATGCTGAAAAGAAGGAACCCTGATGAATCATGTCGGCAACTATTCAAGCCCGCTACTGTTGATGATATAAATCCTGCATTACCTTAAGGACCCGAAACTATGGGAACTATGGTATATTCCTTACTATGGGTAATGCAGGATTTATATCATCAACAATATTACGACGACTACAATGACTACGACGACGAAGACGACGACACTAAACCGTAAACCCTAAACTTCCCTAAACCCCTGAGCCCCGACAGATTAGACCCTAAACCCTCAACCCCTAAATCCCCCAACCCTGAACACCAAAAATCACCAAATCCTACCTTAACGCCAAGAAACCTACCTTTTCAGGACTTATATAAAGAAATGATATTAGGGAACCCTAAAAAAGGTAGATTCCTTAGGGGTCCAGGTAAACCCAGGGCCCAGGCAGGCCATCATCGTGGAGACCTTTGAGGCCACCATGGCTCCAAGGAGTGACCAGCGGGCGAAGACTCGACCTCCGACGGTTTAGCGTTTTAGGGGTTCAGGGTTTTGGGGTTTATAGGGGTTTAAGGATTTAAGGGTTTAAGGGTTTAAGGTTCACGGGTTTAAGGATTTAGGGGTTTAGGGGGTCTGGGGTTTTGGGGGTTTACCCTAAGGGTCCGAACAAATTGGGGAACCTCAAACTTGGGGGTTTTTGAAACCCCAAAGAGACCCATTTACTCCCCCTAGGAGATTCCGGGCCCCCCTAGGGAGATACCTGGACTTTGAGGGTAGGGTTTAGGGGGCTAAGACTCGACCTCGGGGCTTTGGGGAATAGACCTTGGGGCTTAGGATTTGCAGTAGGCTTTCGGATTTTGGGGTTTGGCGTTTGGGGTTTAGGGTTTTGGGGGCTGAGGGTCGAGGGTTGGGGTTTTCGGCTCAACCCTGAACCCTAAACCCTCTGGGCTTCGGGTTGTTTTACTTAAGGTTTAAGGTTCGGGGTCCCTAAAGGGGTCATGGGCTTTCTGGCGGAAGGGTTTGAGCTTTGGGGGGCTAAGGTTTGGGATTTCACTATGAGGGTCCAGGCCTTAGGGCGGGGTTTAGGGTTTGGGGACCAGCTTGGAAGGAGCCCGTTGAAGGATCCCCTAAACCCTACTTGGGAGGGTCGGGGGACTTACACAGGGTTTAGGGTTTAGGGGTAAGAAGCTCTTTTATAGAGTTGTAAATGCCCTAATCCCAATTAGGATCCCTTTTAGGGTACTTTTAGCGCTACTTACTACCTGCTTACTAACTCCCCGACGATCCCTTGTAGATCCCCTTTGGATCCCTTTACAGATCCATTTAAAGAGGCCTCTCAGGATCCCTTTGTGGAGCCTTAGTCACCCGACCCTCCAAGTAAGCCCATAAAAACCGGTCTACGAAGGCGAGTGTGTGTGTTCTGTTAGACTTGGGCTTTGGGCTGTGGAACACTTTCATCGTCCCTAAAACCCTAATGTAGGAACCTGATTTAGAACCCTTGGGCCTTTATTCGGGTTCCTTGTATCAATGCTACTATTTTGGGGATATAGGCCCAGGGTTCTTAATTCAGGTTCCTACATTAAGCCCCACCCTAAGGCTTCGGGACCCTTGTAGCGAGATCCCAACGTCGGCCCCCAAAGCCCAAACACTCCCCCAGAAAGCCCATGACCCTTTCAGGAGCCTCAGGACCCTAAACCCAAAACCCTACGGCTGATGATATAAATCCCGCATTACCTTAAGGACCCTAAACTAACGGAATGATGGTATATTCCTTACTATGGGTAATGCAGGATTTATATCATGAACAGTAATTCATTACCTCACCCTAAGGAATGGTGTGTAGGCATTACGTTGAAGTGGGATGTATTTGAGTTTCACCAAAGCCTCTGTAAGAACTGAATCCCTGCCCCCTGCATAAACCCTAAACAATACATAAGCCCTACAGTGTGAAGATCCATGCAGCCTCAAAATCCTAAACCCTCTACCTTAAACCGTACAGTCTGAACACCTAAAGCCCTGAAAAATCCGAAAACCAGCGACAATCCGAAACCATAATTATACCATATGGGTGGTTGTCAAAATCATGGTCCCTTTTTGGGTCCCTAATATACCTAATATTTAGGATATTACCCAAAAAAGAACCGTAATTTTGACAACTACCCATATACCTCATACACCCCCCAAAGCCACAAAACCCGGAGCATTGAATCGCTGGCTGCAGCCCTGAGCCTGGAAAACCCAGAGCCGTAGAAACCTGACCTCCGAAAAAATAAAAGCTCAAAAGAGTCTTCTTTAAAGGCTCCCAGACCTTCCAAAACCGCTTAATTAAGGAATATACCTTAAATTCTAAGAGGGTTCCTAATATGATTTAAGGTCTATTACTTACTTAACTAAGGGATTTTGGAAGGTCTGGGCCCCTGGGCTTCTTGGGCCTTAGATCCTAAGTCCGAACATGTAAGGCTTTTGGGTTTCCCAATTCTCCATGTACCTTAATAGGTGTTACTTAAGCCTTAAAGGGGTCCCTATACAAGCACTTTAAGGCCTAAATATATACTATATGGGTACATGGAGCCTTAGGGTTTGTTATCATGGAAAACTGGCAAAACATACACCCTAGCCCCGGCATGCGCGCATCCCTGCTTAAGTTGATCTCTGATGTTTGGGCGGCGGTAGGGAACGTCTCATAATCGCCTTCAACTTCAAGAAAGTAAATCATTTTAGCATCCCTGAGGGTCCATTTACCCAAATAGTATATACGTTGGGCCCTATGTACCTATATAGGGAGTCCTTTAAGGCCTACGTATATACTATTTGGGTACATGTACCCTTAGGGATGGTACTACGGGTGTTATTGGGCTCCCTATTTCGGTACTTTGGGGTATACCATTTGGGTACAGGGAGGTTACGTTTTCTACCACTCCAGACATTGGACGCATGCCCCGTTCCCAGAGAGCCCAATACCCCTCAATTAAGGAATATGGCTTAAATCACATTATGAAGCCCTATGTAATTTAAGCCAGGCACCTTCGAGAGAATCCTGCCGCTCACGGAGACGTGCAGCGAGGTCAGCACTGGCAGTGGCGGGGATGACCTGCTGTGGAAATTTCCGAGTATCTCCTTAGGAGGGTCCGGAATCTCCCAAGGAGAGCCCTTTGGGTCTCTTTGGGGTCTCAGAAATCATACATTTTGAGATTCCCTAAAGTGTTAGGACCCTCAGGGGATGGTTGTTGTTGGCCTCCTAGGGGTTTAGGGAGCAAGGGGGTTGGGTTTCAGATTTCGACTTTAGGCCTTATGTATAAGTAGATAGCTCCGTTATAGAGCCCCAACCCTGATCCTAAACCCGAAAGCATAAACCCTCAACGCTAGCGGGGGAGTGAGGACGCTGTGATGTTGGCTCGAAGAAAGTTCCCTGAGGCTGAGGCAAGGTTTTGCCTACACCCCCAACTATCTACAGACTATATCTTCGATCATATTTACAGTAGAAGCCAGACGGTCGGAACATTATCCTCCTTACCTTTAACAAGCTAAAGGACATTGAAATGCCAGCCCGAATCATCCTAAACCAATGTTCCAACTTTGTCATTTGTGGGCTTGAGAATAGGGTTCAGGGTTTCTGACCGAGGATACTTGTTCAATGCAAACTGGATGATAATCGAGGTTTGGAGTTCCTGGGTACCCCATATTCTAGACCCAAACTGTCCCCAAACTCCAAACCTTGAACAGTCCGAGGAAGGGTTTTGGCGACATCTTTCTCCAAGGGCGCGTTCTGTCTGTGAATCTGCAGGAAAACGGGCCTACACCTCCACTGCAGTCGTGGGCACCTCCAATCCTGCCCTAAACTCCAAATCCTAAAATCGTAAACCCTAAACCTAAAATCGTAAACCCGATACCCTAAAATCGTGATTTAATCAAGCTCGAGAACCGAAAACACTTAATCCCAAAGCCTGACTCCAAAGCTAAGCCCGGGCTTATATACAAACCCAAATCCTATTTACCTTGATACGGGTTACCTACACAAACCACAATATCTAGCAATTCCTAATAGTAGTACGTAACTAGTACGTAGGACCCTTTTGGAAAGCTTCAAGACAATCCCAAAGGGTCCTAGGTACTGTCATGGGGAATACTTCCCCAATTCATGAAAATAAAATTCCTAATATAGAGACCCGACATTCTACTATTATAAAGGTACCCTGGGACCTTTCCCTAGGGCTCCACATACACAAATAGTACCTACTTTGGGGTCTAAAGTCTATAAATACTACCGACTTTGGGCTTTTTGGAGCCCCACGGTTTGGCAATCAGCCTCAAACCCTCCTGAAAGGGGGCCTTGATTAATATGCAGAATGCGGTTTTGGGGTCCATTCCGCTACATTCTCATATAGGAGCCTTACGAATGAGAGTAGGGTTCTGGGTTTAGGGTTTAGGGTTTAGGGGTTAGGGTTTAGGGTTTAGGGTTTAGGGTTTAGGGATAATAAGGAACCCCCCGCAGTCACAAGGTAACTATTTAGGCCCCTATAGTATACAGCGGATACGATTACACACGAAATCCTACACCACTTCCAACAAAAACCTAATCTAAATCCTTGTAGAAGCTTTCTAATACATATAGAACCGTTAGCAAACCTATGAACCCTCAACCCAAATCCTAACGGTCCAGGACCCTAAACCCTAAACACTTAGCTCCTTCCAGGGCTCCTATATTAAGGTTCTATAAGAGTTCCGTTTGGGGTTCGATAGGGTTTACCCTAAGTAGGGAGAGCCCTCGGGTCTTTGGGGTTTCAAAAACCCTCAATTTTGAGGTTCCCCAATGTGTTAGGACCCTTGGGGTTGGGTTTTAAGCGTCCATGTGCCCGAGTAGTATATACTTTGGCCTTAGTAATTCCTATTTCGGTACTGTGGGGCCAAGGTATATACTGTGTGGGTACATGGACGGTGAAACCCTTACACCTTGAAGCCCTTGTGGAACCATTATAGGAACCCTTAAAGGAAGCCATAAAAGGTACGTGGCCTTAGAAAAAAGTGTAAGGCCCTTTCATGGCAATCCTCATCATCCGCTTAACTTCCCTAAGGTTCCATGTAACCAAATAGTATATACTTTGGCCCCAAAGTACCTACATAGGGACTAATTTAAGTCCAAAGTATATACTATTTGGGTACATGGACCCTTAGGGCTCGGTTTCGGCAGCCCTAAACCCTAACCCCTAAATCCCTTAACCTCCAAAACACTACTACTCCATATACCCTAATCCCTATAAGCCCAACCTTAACTCACCAAAACCTACTTGTTTCTAGGGTCCCTGCAAAATCCATATTAGGCCATTAGGCTTCATAATGAGAATCTACAGAAGAGTAGGTTTGGGTAGGTTAAGGGAAAGCCCTGAATCCCGAAAACCTGAACCCAATAACCCCGAATCTCCAAAACCCTAAAACCATATACCTTAAGCAAATCCCTAAATCCTAAATCCCTAAACTAGAACCTAAACTCTAGGCACTCGGATTCGGCAGTGGGAGGTGTAGAGACTCCTTCTTTAGGATCCCCAAAGCTTCTCAGGACTCCCGAAGAATTGCTCACTTCTCAAGCTTCGATTTGGGTCTATATAATTAGGCTTAGGGCGTAGGGATTTAGGGTCAAGGCTTAGGGCTTAGGGTTTAGGGATTTAGGGTATAGGCGTAGGAATGAGGGATTTAGGATGTAGGTTGGTGTTTTGCTGGGTCTAGGGGTTTAGGATTTAGGGATGTCTCCAGCTACAATTTGCAGCCCTGAAGGGCTGGTTTCATGGCTCCTGCAAGCGCATCTCAGCCGACGCGGAGGTCCTCGTCAGGCTGGGTCTCGGGCAGGATCAGATTGATCACCGTGACGAGGGCGGCGAAGAAGCCCAAGACGATCGGAAAGTTGTAGAGCGGGCACACCTGCCCAACACATACCGCAAACCCTAAACCCAAACCCTCAATACTTGTCAAGCCGAAAGCCCAGACCAATAAGCCCCTGTACCTGCCAAACAGATCTCATAACCTTTGTTATTGGTGTAGAGTTTGTCCTTCCTAGGGCCCTTAGGGTCTGTTTTCATCACCATGTTCACAACACAACTCTCCAACATCAAAAAACCAACAACACAACACATAAGATTCAAGCGCTCGTAGAACCAAAAGAAAGGCATTCCTTTCAACGGCCCCTCGGAGTCTCTAATGCAAGGCCAAGCGCAAAATACTACCTAAGAGTGCTAAAGAAAAGATGCCAGAATGATACCTAAGAGTGCTAAAGTGCTAAAGAAAAGATGCCAGTCTAGACCCCGACACCAAGAACACAGGCTCGCAGAGAGGGTAGATGATGTAGATCAGCGGCTTGGTGCAAAGCTCCGTGCCATAGAGCGGTCCCTTGGCCGGGACTGTGGCCTCAGCATGGCTGGGCTAAGCGTCAAGGGTTAATTCAGGGTTAAGGGTTCCGGATTTCGGGTTTAGGGCGTTTAGGGCTTAACTCAACCCTAACTTGGGGTTGAGGGGTATGGGGGTTTTGACGTTTAGGCCCGGGTGTACCCCAACCGTAAAGGCATACACTCCCAAACCCTAACCACAAAACTACTATCCTAAACTCATAGCAAACAATTGTTCGTTCTTAGGACACTTAGGGCCAGTTCGCAAAGCCTACGCTGTTCGGTCCTCTACTTTTGAGGTGGGGTGTTGGTTGAGCCCGGGGTTGAGTGTTTAGCTAGGACTTAGATTTAGAGCTTCGGCTTAAGTATAGTAGTTGGCATAAAAAGCTGGAACATTACATTCCCCATGCCCTGAAGGTAGACTATAAGGGGTCCTAGCACTAGACCATAAGGGGTCCTAGCACTAGTCATTCTAAACTCATGTCGCAACTTTCTGGGGGGTCGCTGCATGATGAAGGTTGCGAGATTCGGGCTTGGGGATTTAGGGATTCCAGTTTCTGCTCGGAGGGAGACAATGGAATCGATTTGTCACCTATGGCATAGACATACACGTGAATGCATGAACAAGTAAAGGAACGCGGAAAAAAATGGGCAACAAGCAAAAATGTGTTGAACCAGTATCCGATCTGGATTTTTGTCTCGAAGCGCATCTATATCTGTGTCTATGTATCTGTATCCATGTCTATATCTTCAGCTCTAGCTATGGCTAGCTCTAGCTAGGCTGTAGCTATAGCGAAATCTACGTTCACCGTCTGTGCATCTATCTATCTGACTATCTGTCCACATATACCTACTGGCTACCTAGCTAGCTAGCTGGCTATCGATCTGTCTATCTAGACATACGCCTAAGCATGTGTGTATAGTGTATACATAGTTGCATGTACATTTGTATACATATATATATATATATGCATATGTATATTTCGATGTATATGTATACCCATAAATACATAAATATATATATATATATATATATATATATATATACACATAGGTATAGAAAGGTATGTACGCATGCACGATTGCATGTATGTAAGTATTGCAGATGCATGCAGATCTAATGTTATTTCCGTATGTCAAACCATGAACATCCTACACATGAAGACCACCCGGTGCTGAAAAGGACATCCGTGTGCCTCAGCAGGCAGGGAGGAGGCCATCGTGACGAGAGCACCCATGGCTGCCGGCGCAGCGGCTTCCAAGCCCCGGTTGGCCTTGGGCTGCACGAACCTGGGCTGTTGATAGGGTTTAGGGTTTAGGGTTTAGGGACAAGATTTATCGACAAGTTTAACTTGTTTGTTGAAGGGGAGGGGGGCGAGAATTGCGTTAGCTTTGTTTTCTCTGCGCCTAGACTTCTCGGTTTGAAGGAGTAGGGTCTGGGGCATTGGACGTTGAAGCGAAATCGCTGCTCAGCGTTCGTAAGTGCCAACCCAGGGCTCGCGAGAGTCGCGAACGGGCTGGAAAGCAGCAACATAAACCCTAAACACTATGCCCTGAACCCTTAACCCCAAAACCCTACACCCTAATCCCCAAAAGGGGAACTCCAAACAAGGCGTGTCCAGGTGGACCTGGCAACATCCCAGAATGGCGGAAGCGAACTTAAGGTTGGCACGATGCCCAAAATCCTTGACCTTTTGCGCCGAACCAGAACCACAGG